CAATGAATTTATGTAAACATTTGCACATGCAAAAACATTCTTAGTTTTTGTTCTATACAATTATTTCTATAGAGTTGTTCAGAAAACTCATACGGATCTGTTCAATTATTCAAAACTCAACCCAAACCAAATACAGTATTGCTGACTTTCGGTTTATTTGTATAAGGACTTTGTATAATGAGGTTACACAAACCAGTCACCTTTTGTCATTCTGAGGCTCCCTGAGGTTAAGGTTTGTCTTTTAAAGCATGAAAAATAACTAGGGGAATATTTAATGCACATCTGACTTAAATTAATAGAGTAGATCCCCTGCAGTGTTTCTGCATTCCAGTGGTTTATTTAACAGTATATCAGTCTGGGAAATTTAATGTCATTCATCACTATGGCTAGGTAGGATCTAGTAGCCTGTTCACAGCAGTGCAGCTGAAAGTCTTGCTTAGTTTTTGGTGTGTTAAATATATAAGCAGAGAATCATTCGGTGGTTTCACAAATTACATTCCCTAGATGATCTCTGATGTCACTTTAACTTACAACTGTCTTCGCTTTTTGCTCCTCCCCACCAGAATAAAGTGTGGTATAACACAGTAGGGGTGAAATTCCAAGCGATTTCCTATCCTCCGTATTGACCTATCCACACCAAGTGGCCACAATATTAAGAACTACCATTCAATCGAATGGACTCTCAATGGCAGGCACTGCATGATTGTCTTGACAGATTCCAACTGCTTTCCTAATATAGGATGTTCCTAATATTGTGCTGAGTGAAAGCAATTTTTTCTTTTGTCGTAGTCCCTTCTTTTGCCCTGAACAGCTGTTATTTTCCTGACCAATTTGCTACACCTTTAAAGCTATTGTTACACGCTTCAATAAATCCTGGCCACAGAAACAGGGCTTAGAAACCTAAAATAAATTACTTGAAGTAGATATTAAAATACCTTCCCCAGCCACCAGAACTGGTCAAAATATTATTATGTGCTGTAATGCAAGCAAAGACCTACTGTACCTTAACAGAAGACTAAGCAGCAAGTCTTTACGAAAGCAATGCTATGGTCAAATATACCTCGTGCAAGAAAAGCGCTTCAAAATCAGATGTTAAGTTTAAAATCTATCTTGCGAAGTGAGAATGAAACAATGGGCCGGCAAACTGATTGAATCGTACAGTATTTGTAGCTAGACGAGTCCGGGTTTGTGTGTAAATACTGGCCAGAGACAGTTCTCTCACTTCTATCTTTAGATGTGGTTTGGAAGCAACGGGAACTGACACATCTCTGAAAATGAAGCAAAGAGCAGATATTCTAAAAACCAATTAAATCAACTTGGATTAGGATTATGGTTAAAAACTAGAGAAATGCATTGAGCAATTGAGAAATAATGTGGTGTGATCTGTCAAAAAAAAACTGCTGGATACATTTTGTTTGAAATATACCAAAATACACCGGCTTGCAGAATTGCTTTCGTTCCTTAACATCTCTAAAAAAATATGGTTCTGCTGTTTATTAGCTCATGTAATAAAAGATATACAGATGTAAAATAATAAAATTATGTGAGAAAATGTTTTTAATGATAAATAATGCTTGTGCTGGTTGATCAGTTGACTATTTCTGTTTTTTTTTTCATGTACTGTACATCTGGATGTGAGTCATCTAAGATATTGAACTTAAGTTGAAGGAAAAAGCTCAATAGCACTGCCACTGTCCACCTTAAACACGAAGTTTAAAACACTTTTAATCAAGTTTAAAACAATGCATGTTTTGCTTTAAAAAATTTAGAGGCCTTTTGCAGAAAACTAGAGAAAAGAATATACATTGCCTGATTGCTTTACTTTTATTGATAAAATGCAGTGTTTTGTTGTTCTTTTTTAATTTTTCAAAGGAGTCAGAAATGTAAAACACTGGTCTCTGGAATATTCACTGAATAAGACGAGAAGTAAACATGCACAAACTCTAGTCAGCATTTCCCAGAACTCATACAGAGAAAAATACAGAAAAAACGTGTGACTCCAGGAATTTCAGTACAAGCGTTGATTGGAATAAAAGCTCAGATTGTCCTCATGGAATTTCCAACCGAGAACTTGAGACAAGAATTGGGAATAATGTGAGCACCACTAGGAAATACAAAATGCCAACATAATATATTCCATTTTGGTACTGCAATCTTTTGCTCAAACTACAATTATAATATAATGAAAATATCAGGAAGCAGTGTTAGTCTTGACAGAATTGATTGATCAAGATACATTTCACACATATCTAAACTAAGACAACATTAAGATTGATGTAGTTTTAATGAATACCATGCATTTAGATTTTCCCTTTATTTTGTTATGTTAAACTTCATTTTGTGATTCTTATAATGAATAAAATGAATATAATAACACGTTTAATATTCAGTGTTTATATACAGTTTTTAGCTGTACGTTTATGTCCTTGACACAAATCCACAGCAAAGCATGGTTTTATGATTTATGTACTGTATATTATATAAATCCAGTGTTTTGCCATCAAATGTGTTATGTTTTCAGAATGTACTAAACAAAGTGCTAGCAATCAATGTATTTTATAGGTTTTGAATAAATGGGAAAATATGTTTCCAATTTGAGCTGAATTCCTTTAGATTGCTGTTCAAACTGTGAGCTAACCTTTCCAGTTCAATTAAACTTAAGTTTCATTTATGGATCCTGCTGTAGAAAGGTTATTTTTAAAGCCTGTCTTTTCAAATTTAAGGATCATTTTTGGCACCGCTGTGCACGGCAGATATCTAACACGATTCTTGTAAAAGCCATTAAATTGTAGTGGCCCTAGAAAAGCAGGCCTCTGTCAACATTCCTCATTACATATTACCCTCTTTTTAAGTGTCATGCAAATTTGCCTCTTTAAGACCAGCTCATGAATTTGAAAGGACAGATCATTATTTCTGAGCTTCATTGATGTTTTTATTGGAAAAATAAAGGCTGCAATTGCTTAGTGCTTTAATAATAGAACATAGCTTTGCATTCTAATTCACTATACTCATCACAGAAATGCTGCTTCCATGTACTGGAGACAGAGAAATGACACGAATTGCCCAACTCCAGCAACAATTGAAGAACATAACCATTTGGCAAACACCTCTACCGCCATTTTGGACTGATGAAATATTGGTCTGTACAGACAGTCGCAGAGCTTATCAACCCTCTGCTGGAAGAAGAAAAATAACAGTATCTTTCATCAATCTTCCTTTATCCTTTATGTTATGTTTTGCAAGATCAAACATTCTCTTGAGGTTTGGGGTACAGCTTTGCTATGAATATTTGAGATGTAAAATAACAGCCTCTCATACACTGTTTCGCAGCCACGGTAACTTTCTCGGAAACCTTTTTGCACAGGAATTGTTTTAGCAACAGCACCTTCTAACTCAGCTCTGTAGGAAAGAGAGGTTGAGATGGGAAGACCCAGGTCTGTCACATGGATCTCCAGAGCTCTCTCAGCTTGAACCCCACTCCCTGTGCTTCGTCACCATTTTCGTCCTCCCTTCTGCTTTAGGTCCCCTTTAAGGTGCACTCCTTGAGCATGAAAACCCTTCCACTCAGACGGAAACTACTTCTTCTGATTCCATCACAATGGAGAATAGGGATGTTTCAAACTCGAGTCTTCTGTGTTGGGGATACCCCTGTTCTCGGGTGGATGAATGCTACTGAACAACATGAAGCCTGAATTAGATGCACAGTGGTGTGCTTCACTGGGGATCGCCAAAAACATTTTATCTGAAACTTTTGTTTCCAACTAATATATTGAAATACTCCTGGATAACAGGAGCTGGATTTGGATAACAGGTAAAAACAGCATAACATAGGAAGAACTATTGTTCTCAGGTACAAGGTTGTCCTATGAAATTACTAATAGATTTTCCAAGTCTTGGGAGTTTCTCTTGCTGTAGCTGCTGGTGGCTTGTCTGTTATATAGAAAACCTCTCGCAAAAACCAAGTTATTTAAACAAAGCCTTCAAATTAACTATTTATTTTTCAGCCAGTTACTCTGTATCAAAACATATCCACTGTGTAAACAATGCCAGTAACTTATGAACTGTACCAAACTGCAAGGCCAGTAAACTATTTAAACCAAACTCCTTGCCCAAAATGTTTTTATAGAAGTTTGCTCCAGTGTTTGTATGTTTTTCATTGTTTATTACCAATAAATTCCTTAACTTACACTCTAGAAACAAATCTATGGCCTGTATGCTAGCACTAGCAGCATATTGTATTAAGATTACTGTACAGTAATACTACAGTAAATGAACTGACAGTTGAATTTGTATGTAATATATAAAGAAATAAACATGATTCAACAGTCTTGGTTAAGAATCTTTATCACCTCATAATTCCTAAGGCCTCTTACTGTTCGTGATCCCCTAACAATCTAACACATGAGCACAAATCGCGATATCGTCATTACTAATATCCACTTACTTAATATCCAATTCGTTAAGCATTGCAGGAGTACTTTTGCCGATCTAAATAAAACGAAGATCAACGCACACCTTAAAATGTTCAGATGGTCGTACGTCGCACACACCTGCAGTGTGTAATTAATATAAAATGCCCTTACAGCTTTTCCTAACCGAATAAATCCCATTAACTAACTCGTACATTTCCCTGTATGTTTTTGAAACGGAGTTCACTGGACTTTTACGGGATAGTTATCACCTTCACTGCAGTTCCATTGCAATCGTTTTTTGCAAAGCGTTCCGAATTTTAATGCGAAAAATGTTTTCAAATATTAATTTGATTTTATAGAAAAGTAGTTCTAGCAGCTTAATCTTTGAATTTTCATGCCTGTGATCAGTCTGTTTTACCTTCACGAAGGATGAACTTAATGACGGGACAATTAGAGAATTATCTGTTACTACCGTAGATTAAAAATAAGTGTGCGTGATTTCTGTGGAATGATTAGTCGAGAATGTTTTCGCAGCCTAACTGATAAATTGTGAAACATTTTAGAATTGTTGAATTTCATAGTAGCAGACGGAGGGAGACGTGTTTGGATTCAATGTAGGACGCAGAAAGACCCTGAAGAAATAAAGTAAGTAAGGTGCATTCAACGTGGATAAATTAATAATTAAATTAGTTGTTTAACGCAATTCAAAGCTAGGATAGTTCGAGAAAAATCTAATACCCCCTGGTTAATGTATTCCGTTAGCTCTACTTTTCGTTATGTACTGTAACGTCTTATTTATTAAATGCATTGTTCTTTGCACTCACTGTACAGTATGTCTGAACTTTTGTTAAGTTTAATCAGGGTACTTCTAACTAAAAATATTCACCAATGGGTGGGCATCACGCTTTACTTTACTTAAAAGTAACGGGAAATCTCCATGTAGGATCTTAAGGTGTACAATACGCTACCATGGTCTGAATTATTTCCACATCCACCTACTAAAAGTATAACCGTAACTTACCAGCTTCCAAGAGTCTACCACGTGCACTTAATTTTCCCCGAGTTTCTCCACAATTAGGTTTCATTAAATAATTTTGTAGGTTATTAATACAGACTTTATTTTACGTCTGCGGCGAGTTGTAGTTTTTTTTTTATCTTAGCTTTGTATTTATGAACGTAAACACAGATGTAATTAAGTTGCACTTTGCTCTCGGATACCTGGAGGACAAGCGGGCTCATTAGACTAATTTAGACGTCTCAAACAGCCCAGCTGAAATGTCTAGTAGTCATAATAAGATCTAATCTACCTGCGGTGAACGCAAAAGTGAAGTTGTTGAGCTAAAGTTACCGCCTACCAGGGACTTCATTACTTAATACAGTGCTCGGGCAAATCTATAAGGAGAGAGTCGCAGAACTCGGGATTTCTGTGATCTGAACAGAGTCCTGGGACCTGTACAACAAATCTGTAGCACACCAAGCGACTTCTGTCATTCATGCTTGAGACGTGATCCTTTTAATTATGTGTTTTGCATTTGGTCTAAATTAATTTCGGTATATGCATAGAGTAATATATAATATGCATGTTTGCTGTGTACCGTAAGTATTCGTTTAACACCTTTTAATATCCGTATATAATAAAAAAAACTTTAATATTGTGAATTCTAACGTGCGACCATAACGTTGTATCCATTTTTGATGCTACTGGTTAAAATCAAGTTGCCATACAGTTCCTTCAGATCATCTGTTATGATATGGCCAACACCAAAACCATTTCAGAGTCTTGTGGCGCCTTCTGCTTTAAAAGTCATTTCTCGGAGTGGTAATGAGCGGAATGGAAATTTTCAAAAGTTTGACATCTGTTATACTAGCATGTTTATGGCATATGCTTAAAGTTTTAGATTCGTTTTATGCAGTTATACGAGTCTTCATCTACGACGGCATCTTGCAATAAATCATAAAAAGAGCATGATTTCGTTTCTGTTGCTCTTCTGCCTCAGAACAGAAGCGTTGTCTCTGCATTTCCTGCTCATCAAACCTCGGGCTGCTTTTGCCTGCTTTAAAGGAAGCGCGGTAACGGCGCTACGGTTGAACTGCAATTTCGTCAAAAGGTCGCACATTTCTTGAACAAAACCGAAATCTATTTAATAACATCTGTATAACAGCCCGCCTTTAAAAGTGTTCAAAAAGTTAAGGGTGTGTTACATCACCCTTTTCAATAAATTATGAAGAGAGAGGAGGAAAGACTGATTGGTTTATTGCTTTATGCTTTAATTAAAGTTTAATGAAATCCTACACTGTTTCATTCAAGCGATTTGCGGTGATGCATTTTAAGTTGTTCCAAACCGCTTATCTTGTAAGTCTTTCGTGCCTCAAATAGCTGTCCCCTTCCTTTTACCGCTTGTCTTTATTTTCTGTAACTTGTTTTGCTCCGCTAACGGTTATTATCCACCTTATGTTTATTGTCCGCGGATTCAGAAATATTGTCTCCGTTTGCGTTTTACATACTTTCCAGTGCAACAAAAATGAATTATTTTTTAGAATGTATTGTAATCGAGCCTTTTATTACTTGGAGTTTTATCCTGATCTGGGGACTTAAATGTCGTCACCTGTTATCTGTTCTCGGTTTTTGAGGATTTGCCCAACAACACACGCTCACTTAAAGTTTCTGTTTCCTTTTACCCAGACGTAGAGGAATGGCATTTTTGTTACTGATGATAATTATGAAGACATAAACTGCCGTATAGGCCTAGAGGCTTTTTCTAAGTGTAAAACTGCACAGTTACAGTACATGTTATGCAGTAAAACGGCTATCAGGCTTACTTTCGTTACTGTCCATGATATTGTCTGAAGAAATGAAATTTGTATTTGCATACATCGGCGTGGTATAAGACTGACTCTACTGTGCCTTGATCCTGTCACGTATTTCATGGTCTTGTTATAAATAATTGCAGTACTCTGCGTGTTTTAGTCATTCTTCCATAAATTGGTTTATTTTAATTAAAAAAAAGCTTGCAATAATTCTATATGGCAGTGTATTGTTTGTTAGGTTATTAAAATAGCTATGTGCCGGTGAGATGGGTCTTTATTTTATCGTTATTAATAAGTATCCCCACCACCACCATCTTTATTGTTAAAAAAAGAGCTTTTCGATTTTATTTCAAGGCACTCTTAATATACTAGTGATCCCAGCGATGTAACACATGAAAGATGTTGTTTCAGAACCAGATGTTACGGGGCTCAGACTTTCTTTTTTTAAACTCTCTTCCACACGTGGAAGACAAATGGTATAAAATGTCGTTTGCAAGATAAAACTCCCGACAAACTGCGCCCAGGAATCTGAAACGGCTTGTCTTTAACGTCCTTCGAGATGGTAACAAAAACATGCAACATTTTTATTAAATGCATCTGCTTGAAATAAAGTGTGTAGATGTAGAATTATTTTTCACCTTTTTCAGTCATTTTTGTTTTGCCTTTTTAAGTCCAAATAAATTAGAAACAGTCTTCTCATTCTACTTTATAAATAAGCAGACTGACATCGAGCCTAGGTTTATATGCTCAGTTAAGTTTGACAAACTTTTTTCCCCATTTGAAACAAAATACATCTGGCCCACCTTACCAAATGCGTGCATTAAGCAAATTTAGAAGATAATTTCAATTGAAATATTTAAAATCTAACATATTGTAAATATTTTGCTCAAATTGCAGGATTTATTCACTTTCTTGGGATTATAGACGACATTTTGCAAGTTCTATTTAAATATAACAAATATTTAAAAATCGTAAAGGAAAACGAAAACCATAAGACACTTCAACTAATGGGTGTCTTTTTTTTTCCTTTTAAGATTAAATCGAAACTTTGTTTCTGTTCTATGTGCGGAATCTTGAATTTCTTTATGTCGTAACAAGAAGTAACTATTATGTGATTATTGAAGATTATTGCTTGCGTAAAAAGTAATTCGTGAATATATTACATAATTTACATTTTTTTCTGCCCCTATTAATATATAGCAGGAATTTATAACCCTGAAAATATTTACAATTCTGTCTAAACCAAGGTTGTGTTCAGCTCTCGATGTTCTAGTTTGGAATCTTTTATTAAGGAAGCCAATCTGGTCAAGAACACGTTGGCACATTAGATGAAAAACCACTTGCTTAACAAGCAAAAGGCTCCCATGTTATTCTTATGACGATTAACGTGGATGGAAAGGTGCAGCTAAAATGATTCTTAACGTCCTTAACGAATTGTGAAAAATAGAGATTCAAAATTCCACTATGATTTTTGGAGACGTAGATACGACAAATAAACGTAAATAATTAGCGTGTAAAATTAATTAAAATTGCAAAGCTCTTGCGTTGTTATACTATGTGAGTAGGATAATTGCACTACTTAATCCTTTCTGGGGAAAAAAATGTCTCTGCGCTCTTACGCTGAATGAGCCTCTGCAAGAGTTGTGAGTAAACTGAACTTTGTGGCAGCAATGTAAGATTTATACCTGTAGAAATGGATTTTCCAGCGCTCAGCGCACCCTTTGTAAAATTCTTTTTTTAAATCAATTAAAGAAGGGGCCTATTAATCACTGAGTTATTGCTGTAACAAAGAGTGTTTGGGGGAAGAGATGCATTACGTGCATTACATTACACTGCTTTCCTATTAATTACTTTAAATTCTTAACATTTGATAACTCGAGTCAGTGCGTTATCAATAATTTAGCACGTCTACAAATTATCGCTCGTGAAATCTGTCACTTTGCATTATAAAAATATCGCATATCTCAACCTGAATCTTTTCTCCGAATAAATCTGATTCTTTTGATTGTAGCAGAAAACTATCAATTAAAAGAAATGTTCCAATGCACCAGGACGGTATCCGCAAGTGAAATTCATGTTTCACTAACTCTCACCGTGCGTTTACTCACCTTTCCTTTGTCTCGCTGTACTTCTGTAACACTGCAGTGTACACTTACAGTAAAAGTGGTAGTTTTAACAGCATAATGTGGTCGTAATTATTTTAAAAACATTCCCTAAGGACTCCCTTTTGCCGTTCTCACATAGGAATTTTCCTTATTAATGCCTCTGCTGGGAAATTTGTTTTGTTTCCTTAATAATGCGGTTTTAGAAACGTATTCATGCCAAGTTTAATAAACTGGAGCTGTGCCTCCACGAGATAGCCATGTTAAAAGCAAGGCGAAACGTATACACGGGATCAGGGATCCTCGGTATTGAGAAATATCTTCCCGGTCTCCTTTTGAAGACCACTTCAAAAGAAATACATATTGGAGTTTAAAATACAATCTGTAGTCATAGTTCTGTAAAATTAAATTTCTGCTATTATTAAAATGACCCTATTTCTAACCTACATTTGAATGACGTAATCATTGTGTATTATTATTATTTTATTATTATTAAACATGTTTTATTGGGTATGTTACCCCTCCTCCCTTTGCTCTACTCCATCCGCCTCACAGCAACAGGCTATAAGACGGTGATCGATGGCTTGTTAACTTAACCTCGGCCTCCTCAAACCAGGAGCCGCCTTCAGTCCCCAGATTAACTTGGAAAAACTAATTTACCATTGAACAGTGCGCCATTAACCCTGGCGACAGCAAGAGGCAGGAGTTCGTCAATGTAGTCCAAAGATATGCGAGCTGATGATACCCAGACCCAAAGTAAAAATGAAAGCTGCTGTTTTTATTTATTGAACGTTTGATTCGGATCATTACAATTATTTGTTGTACAAGAAGTTTCTATACCCAAATCACTGGCCCAGTTGAAGCTTTCCTGAAATAACCACAAAGTAAAAGGCAATGCGCTGTACGTTATTACTGATATCTGTAAACGTGTTAATTACATTCTCCTAAATTTTAACTCCTGTATTAAGGATTGTAATGTAGATTATCGCATTAAACATACTTTAATTCAAATCGTTAAAGGGAAAATTCAATAGTAACGTTATGCCTTCGTCTTAATTATGTTACCAAGGTAGTAGCTACGGTCGTGATATCCATTATAGCGTGCAATGTGTGCGCATTTATTTTGGAAAACCCGGGGTACATTAGAGATGGTGGAAAATATTTGAAAATATTGCTAAATAATAACTGGACTTAGTATTGACACCAGTATTAGCAAAAACTCGGATCGAATTTCTCCTGCTTTAGGTAGTCCTTATTACATTGAACTTGTTAGCAAATTTGATGTTAGCTGAGTGTTCATATAGATAACAGTGCAGAGCGAAATATTTTTTCATTGTTATTTCCAAACACGTAGGAACGTTTAGGTACGTTTCTGTATGGGAATAGCTAAGTCTTAAAAGAGTACAGGACTCTCTTTAACCCATCCATTTTGCACAGTTTCCTTCGAGACCTATCTAACTGGGAACAGCTGCATCCTAAATTCACAATTCTCTCATAGCTTCGGTCTAGAAGGTAGAACAGTTTAGCCTACCTGCGCTGTTAAAAAACATGTACGTGGAGAATTCTACAGAGATCACCTTCTTTTTTCATACAGTATGTGTGAGTGTGGTACTCGTGTGTATACAGTATATATAGATATGAGAATTGAGGAACTCCGAATGCACAGCATTAACTTCTCAACCTATAAAGGCGGTGGGAGACCAGTGTTCCGTTAATTGAATGAGTTAAGTCGGAAAAACTCGTAAAGAACGGACTTACTATTCAACTCACCATAGCAGGAGATGAGCGCTCCGTTGTGGCCGCTTTCTTGATGGAGTTTGCTTCCTTCTGGGGGTGTTTTGCAAGAGGACCTCTGCATGAAGAGGTGGTATTTGTTAAAGTTGCCTTCCCCAGAAGTGGCATCCAATGACTGGCATTCCTGTTGGAACGGGCTCCGCGACTTTTCCCCATAAGCCTGACCTTTGTTGGTCAGGAAAGTGGGGCTGTATTTGGTGTCACTCGCTTGGAATGTCCTAAACGGGTTAGCCTGGTGATCCCTACCTTGCGGTGCAGATGGGTTATAATATGAATCCATGGATGTCATATCACAGTATGAAACGCAAGTCTCAGCGTTCATTCCTAAAAAAAAGTAAAGGGAAAAAAAGAGGTCCAAATGTTTTTTTTTTCTTTCTTTCCTTTTTGGAGAGCGAAGCAAACAGATACTCTCTCTCTCTCTCTTTCACACAAGGGCGCGCACACACACAAACTCGGCAGCTGGGGTTGGTTATAAAATGATTCAGATGTTTTCCAGAAACTGCAAGCTGACCAAAAGCTAAAAGCCCCCTTAAGGTTTAGGAGAGTAACAAAAACTGTCTCTTCCCTTGGAAGATGCAACCCAGAACTCCTCGATATAGTCTATAAGTCAGGACCTCTCCCCAGTTATGTAGACGGGTTGAATGGGTGAGGTCAGACCTTTGCTTAGGGGGAAAAAAAAGGTTTGTTGTAAATATATGGGGAGACACAACACATGACATTAATGCAATTAGGATATGAATATATAACTGATTGGATGTAGAGGGCAACACAGAGGAAGCAATTCAATGGCTGTGACACGGCTAATTTGCAATGGTCTCTCAAATGAGGACTTTGTCTTAAGCTAAAGAAAAGCTGCAACAGCTCATTTTCACTTGTGTTCTTGTAACGGTTCTAAATATTTCGTATGCCTTTTTTAGATAGTTCACGAGTTATTCTGAAGTTAATATTTTATTGCGAAACACAACGCAAATGCAAGGTTCAAAATCCGTCCGAAATATTGTATTTAAAAATACCATACAGGGTGTACCTTGCCTTTAAATGTTCAGTGTACTTTAGCGGTACATACCAGCAGAACGTGCACGCACGTACTGTAGGGGTTTCAGAGGTTGGAGTAAATGCATCGCCCCAAGGGTAATATCGAGTGAGGCGCCACGAGAATAAAAACTGCGAAGGTATTAAAATAAAAAGTTCTGAAGATCTTGTTTGATCCTTCATGATGCCTTTAAACTTGTATGAAACCCCACGACATTAGGTATGCTATTTTCGATGCCAAAAGACACCTAATTTGGAAATTCGTGATTTATTTCCCACAAGACTTAACACTGAATTGGTGTAGTAGCATTGAAGCTCTAACCAATTCATCATACCTTTAATTGCAAGAATGGTCTGCTAATAAAAGCGTCAAATGCATACTTGGGATGTATTTTAGCTCCGTAAACGTCGTTCGCTTAGAAATACTGCGTGGCTTTTAGAGGCGATATGAATAGTTATCTGTAAAGTGCGCACTCGCATCTATCCGTCAATATTATCTTAATGTTATTCATGCATTCCAAAACTTGTAATTTGTTTACAGGTGAAATTTTAGAACCTCTTCGTGCTTAACTCCTACAGGTCGAGCATGTATCGAGCTGCTACAAGCAAACGCGTGCACTGCCCCTTGCGTTCCAGAAACACTTGTATTCGGGAAGCCTGGCTGTACTCCTTAAAACCCGAGAGGAAATCCAAAAACAAAGGTGAACCTAATTCGCACCACAAAAAAGACAGGGGTGCACGTCAGTTACGCGTGAGTACCGTTATTTATCTCGCTCATTTCTGCCTCCTCCTTTTCACGCCTGCCCGGCGTTCTTTGAAACGATTTAATGCCTTATAATTTTTTTTATTATTATTTTAAACAATATAAGCCTGCTAACCCTTTAGTCCAATGTGCTTTTCTTCCAACTTTAGGGGAAAAAACACGTGTTTTTTTTTTTCATTTCAAAACTTTAGGAAGGTAAATATTTAAAAATATATTTTTTTAAATAAATGTTTTGACTGTAGCCTATTTGTTAATGGAACAAATTGTGAGCGTTGCATTTGATTAATGATGGCGCTCATATCTCACTTTTTGTAGTGTAAGGTATGTTTGAACTCTTGTATACCTCACACGTTGTTGTTTTTTCTTATTTTATAATGTATTGATCTGAAACAAAATATCTTGTTAAGCTATCTTGTCTGATGTGGTATTCGCTCCCATAAAAGTAACTTTCCAGTTAACAAAATATAAAAATTATTTGACATTCGTTTCAGATTAAGTAGATATGATAATTCGCGTAAGTAGAGGTGTTATTTGTTGTTAGTGTAAGACTACTGTTTGTCCCAGTACTATGTTGAATAAATGGATTGTGTATAACAGGAAAATTCGAGTATTAAGTTTATATCGTAGTAGGTTTTGGACGGTTTTGTAAAACTGCCTTTAAGATATAGTGACCACAACGATCAGAAGATCACAGCAGTAATGTGGCCATTTCTGCTTCTCGTGATTACGTCAGGGCGTTTTTGAGTCCCAGAACTGTTAGAGCAGCTAAAGTTCCAGAATAGTAGAGCGTCCGTCAGCTTTTATCTTAAAGTTACACTAATGAAAGAGTGAACACCTCCCAGATTAAAGTGCTTGGGAAAATGAAAAGAGCCAATGGAAGGACTTATTCCGACTTTATTCGCAGGTGTGAAACGTACCTGAAACATTGAGTGAAATGGTCTAGGTTTTTTTCCCCGATAAAATCTCATTTTATGTGGGTCGTTCTCAATAAAAAAAGCCCACGACTGTTCTATGTGACAGTATCACGAGAGATGGAATCTTATGTGTAATCTTGATGGACCTGTAGGAGAAAACTGTCCCTACCTCGAAGCCGATTTTAAATTATACACCCAATCACCCTCGAAAACTAAATCAATCTGTTTATCCACATTGAAATTTGAAATGGATCAAAAATATTTTGTTTGATAGCGATAATAGTGGAATATAATTTTATCGCATACTGTTCGAATATTATTGTTTGTATTATTGATTTGATTGATAAAGGTGTGCAAGACGGAAGATCACCCATTCGCCCATCGTGAAGATCAAAACCAGTTTTTGATGGCGGCTTTTGTAAATCCTAAACGCCTTTGAGTAGCATAAAACCTAATATTATTTGCAAATGGCAGGTGGGTCAAAGTTTTTTTTTTTGTTTTTTTTTTTTTAAATCTAGACCCATGCCTAATGAATTACTGCCCTAAACTACTGTCATTCTTTGAGAACCTAGATAGAAGCCTATCAGAAAGAAGTTGCATTTCCTTCCCTGACCACAGGCTATGGTCATCCTAAGGCTCAAACTTCCCGAATAAAAAGCTCATTATTGTTTCGTTATAACCCTCAAAAGTCGACCCCAATCCATGAGATCGAACTGGTAAAGTGATGAATAGCAGTCTTTTGCATTACACTCTTGTCATTCAATGGCAAAAGCTTTAATTGGATATCAAACAACGACAATGATTAATGTAAGTCCTGTAATTAGAACTTTACTTTGAATAATATACTGTAGGGTTTAGCAATTCTTTCCAGGAAATGAGCCTTGCGTGAGCTCCTTGTTCATTATTAACGGTTGTATACCAAGAACACAAATTAGCTAGGCAGAACTACACGAGCTAAAATAATACAAAACTTGTCGAATACAGTGGACGTTATAGCTATAACCAGTATGTTAAACATTCGTCAGGGAGTTAAGGAATTGTATACTAAAAAGTTGTCTCTGAGATTAAATTCAGCTGTTGATACTATTGTATGGAGTAATATGGAGGCAAAATATAAAATGTGGTTATGTTGTATAATTCATTCCAGTAAATTTAATATTTCAGTGCTCTTGCTTTGTCGTCTTTTGAATTGAACATTGCCCACATTCTGAATCTCGTTTGCTTTTATTTTTATTTTATATATTTAAAAGACGGATTGCTAACAGCTCTCGCTGTTTAATACGCACGAACTTTGCAGAATAGCTTTTCTTGTTACAAAGGTTTAGATTTGTCTCTATAAAGGCGTAGATACAATATAGTGGATAATAACAAAACGCAATATTTTCTTAGGTTTACTATTCGAGGGTCCAGTTTATGGTAAAGCAGGTAATATTGAATGAAAGACGCGCTCAATTAAAAACACCAATTAAGTCTTCACGACATCCTCTTGTCTTGATTTATTTAATCATCTGAAGAAATCTGTTCTTCTGTACGTCATCCCATTTTAGTTGAATTATTTGTCCTATAGCTGTACACTTTTGGCTCCGTTACAATTTTAACTCTGGACGTCTTTTCTCAGTTTCATATAAACTATTTGGTATAGACTGGTGTCGTCTGTGAGCTCTTTCCAGAGGACGTTTGTTCATGCTGCACTGGCTTCTGTCAAGCAAGTGAAAGAGACCGCGGCGAAGTACATTAAACTAGATTGCTCAAAATCGAATTCTGTCCTTGGAAAATTAAACCACATAGAGCGAGATTAATACACAGATCATAACTATGCTATAAACTCTGTATACTTCCACGGCCGTCTCCATCAGAACTTTTAACTACTGTACTTATTTGTAAAAATAAAGAACACTTTTAGTGCTGCTGGACCAATGCTTATCAGTCTAAATTAAAGAAGTTTCGCTATTGTTAAATAATTTGGTGAAAAGCAAATATGACGTACCGTAGTAGTAAAAAATGATTTTTGTAGAAAACAGTGTTTTCTATATGCAGCTTTGAGATTCCATTCTTAGCAAGTTTAGGCTATATAATTCTTTAGATGTTGAAAAGGTGAAAGTTCTGTAGGATGTTTTAAATAAGCACATTAGCCCATATATTGTTTACGAATGTTTAGTTTAAGAGCGCCTCTGAGCTAGCGATGAGCTGAAACGAAGACGCAGCAACAAAACCCGGATCGACTCGGTGCACCTGCTTGTGAAGATCACACGTTATCAACTGTTTTAGCTCTTTAAGTCAAATACAGGTATCATTATTTTTTGTAACACTTAACAACAACAAATGCATTTCATATCTGTCCTCTTACGGACAATTTTTAATACACCCTCTGTAGTTCTAGGCAAAGGTACGGTATATTAGTCCCCGAGTACAGCATAGAGTATATACAGTAATTAATGTATGCAGCCCGTTCATTTTTTTTGCTACAGAATACTACCATGCAATTATACAATACTGACAGGATCAAGCATTATTCTGTGCTATTTTTTCTCAGTTGGAAAGAAAAAGGGAGCTCCCGATTTCCCTTTAAGAAATCACTTAGGTTATTCATGACGCATAAAGACACAAAACTATTTGAGATAAAGCGCATTTAATGGCATTGCCATTTATTACTCGGTACCTGGCCGAACGGTTTTATTTAGAGGTTCAGTTAAAACGGCTACAAACAGTTGATTGTACGAACAGTATTTCAGCCTACTTACGGTGGAATTGAGACTAAAGGCAGATGTTGCAGATTATAACGTTTGGGCACTTACTGAATGAACTTCACATTTATTTATTTATGGGGGTTAGACGCAACCTCGGAAAATTAATCTTAAAAAAAAACATAAAAGACTTTGCATCCCTTGCTATTTACTTGCTGTTTATTGAGGCTTTTGAGTCACCGCTGATGTGTCAATATTTATAATCGTCCTATGTCAAACCGCAATAACCGTAATTTGGACATTTAGTTTGAAATTAAACGAATAGGAATTTTTAATAAGTACAACTGTTTTCCTCACTACACTGTACATTGTATATACGGTGCGTATGAATCTACGACCTTTTGTAGCTTTGTAATTTGAAAGGCTACTTGAGCTGCTTCCGAAGTTTAAACACTTACACTAAATCAAAGGATTATCTCCAAGTGCCTAACTTGTACAATAAAATTATCATCTCGCGTGGTCATTATAATCTATCGTAGGTTCACTTTGTAGGCCATTCTAATTGGGTCTCCGGGCTATTAAAATTGATCATAAAATTGCATTAAATATGCATCTTCGAGGTGGTCTTTGCAATTTTACGCTACGCAACAAGAATAAATTAAAAATTATTTCAGTACTTTCACGAAAATATTAAATTTGAAAACCCCATATAAAAATAACATCGAATCGCACTAATCCATAGATAATTTGCACCGGCTTACACTGATTATCCAGGCTATTCTAAATTTAATTCCTCTTATACAATGTGGATACGAATCATATTAACAAAACACTTACGCTAATAACTATAGGCTACGCGCTCTGACGTTTGCTTTAATAACCTGGCGACCGTGACCTCGACTGCAGGCCATCAGGAAGAATGAAAGAGAGGCCGAGTTTAACATGAGGAACAAATAAAATCGCTAAATTAAATTAAGATTACCCCCAAGGCAGCCTATACTGAGCACTCCTCCGGCGGAAAAGTGGATCTTATTTTCTGAAGGGACATCTTTGTTTTGCATGTAAAATAGGTTTACAAAAGGTAACACTGTAACATATGTGTACTTTGCATGCGTGCGAAGATTATGCAAACGCATATAGATAATGTACACATGGTATGTACGTTGCTGGTATGCCCAGTATGTAAGACACATAAGTAGAAAAAACTTGCTGCAGATACTGTATTTGACATTTATCTTTAAACTTTAAACTTCCTCAGACGCGGAGATAATACATATTTTTAAATGGCTGGTACAGTAAGTGTGATAACACTTAAACCATACATATTACAGTAGGGGGGTAATTTCAAATGAATAATACGCGTAACAAGAATTAAATTTTGCCTGAAAAC